GAAAAATTGACTTACCCTGCAGCTAAGAGGAGGACTGTGTCATGGAACTGAGGAAGAACGTTAAGTTCTGCACTTGACATTGCGATCGAACAAACTTGGCTGGATGACCCAGAAGGAACCGCACGTTCCCAGCGATGTTCTTATCGGGGTTGGTGCATAGGTCGACCGACAAACTCTGGTGAATCTGTGCATCCAGGCCAGCTCTCGCTTCATGCATGAATGACGGGCGAAAGCCAAGAAAGTGCGCGTTTCCCTCCACCTGTATCGCCAGCTCTTCTGCAGGAAGGGGGATGGGACGAGGGCGAGTGCAGTTGTTGCCACTTCTGTTCTAGCGCCTCCACCTCTCGCTGGAGCTCGGCCTCACAGTTTGATGGTCTTCTTCTGTAGGTCCGCCATGGTTAGCGTAGCTGTCGGATAGACCAGGGAATCCTGCTTGTCCTTGCAGTCCTTCCCCGCCTAGCCGGCGTTGTGAGCCAACAGAAGGTGACCTCAGCCGGCACATCGGCGCTGTGTCTTCGGGATGCGTGGCGTGAGAAAGCCGAAAACTGGATAACTCGTACTAGTCTAGTTGGCCGAGAGAATTCTGCCTGTCCTGCCCCTGGCAGGTTGACGTCAGACTGACACGACAGGGGCTGGAAGGCATGCTAATTACAAACTTTCGTCCCCGGGGCTCCCAAATATCCACCGTGATTGGTCCGAATAGATTGAATAATTTCAAATTCACCGCAAATCTGATTGACATTTCCTTCAAGAAATCGTGCGTTAACTCGCTTCCTGCCAATTAAATGCCCATTTCTGAGGGTCCTGACATTAACCTACGGGTCAAATTTGAAAAGTTCATGAACTTTTGACAATGCTGACGGACCCTTTATTTGCTTTTAATAGGTTGTTCTAAATACTCAATAGTTTTGGTCAACATAGCTGCAATGCAAAGACATTGACATCATGGAAGAGTCCACTAATCAAGGAGGGTTTGCGCAGTTACGTCTAGACGTGTCTGACAGGCATCGCATTGGGCTTAACCTCAGGTCGCTACGTTAGCGGTGTGGTTGATAACAATTCACCTCTGTCTAATCTGAGGTCAATTAAAAGACAAGAGGCTTAGACTAAGCGCTATCACATTTCGTTTTCACCGTATGTATACTAGTATTCAACTGCTGTGGGGATTGTACATTTTACAATAGCGGGGTAGAACTTGTGCTACAAACCCACAAACTTACTTATAAGGTTTACGACAAATTCAGGGTCGATCGTCTTCATGAAATGCTTCTCAATAAGTTTTCACAAACATAATTTGCAGTTTGCAGGGCGTTATACTGTACGGATTTTCCTCTAGACGTTCTGCTGCTTATGTACAAAGTAAAGTTGCATAGTTGCAGCTGTTTGTCCTTGAGCGCTATATGATCGCTGTTCAAGGCCGTGTTGTTGGGGATGATACAATAACGCTAGCAGGGGAGAACTGTGTTCCTGTAGAAAGGCTGGGATTTCCCGACAATAAGACTATAATAGTTTTTAAACTGGTTGTGATAACAGCCAGGAGGAGACTCCCTCCCCTGGACACAGCTAATTTTAGGGGTTTAAAATTGATACAATCACATTATCGATTTTTAGGCAAACAGAGGGATAGAAACCATGGTTAGAAACCAATCAAAATGTGCATATTAATAATTTTCTTTCTTTCAGAAAGTTTTTTTTTCTTCTTCCTTTTTTTTAAATTCAGAAAACAGTATTTTCTTGAATGTGTAGTCCTAAAGATGGGACCACTTATTTAGAGAAGTGGAATTTTGTTTTGGGGTGTGTTTTTTCTTTTGATAAGGGACTTGTTTACAAGGTGAGTGGTGATTAGAAAAAGGATGAGAAGGAACCCTGCAAAAGGTAAAGCACTAAAAGTGAACTTCTGTGTTAGGAATCTTTCGAATTTAGCGTAGCGTAGAGAGGCTTCTTGAATTCAGCGCAATACGTAGCCGGCTCTCAGAATTTAGCGTTGTTGGGACCCCCCTTGCAGGGCCCCTTGAAAGGGCTCACACAGCAAATTTTCTGTATCTCTTCGTATTCCCGTCTTAAACAGTGAAAACGCAGTGCCACCGAATCTGTTCTGTTCTCCGTGACCTCATTTCCCTTTCCTCAGGCCAAAGTTGGCAGTCTGAGCAATTTCAAGGACATACAGCTCAGGCGGCAGCGTACCGATACTCCCTCAGGTAAACAGGAGTATGTGGCCTTGAAGCTGTGGCCTTGGTATGGCCAAATCAATGTACTGCCTTACATATGTGTGCTTGCTATAGAAATAAAAAAAACTCTTGATTTGTTTTTTTGATTGGATTCCAGCCAAAATAGTTACGTATTTTAAGGTGTAAGTCTATGGGACAGCGAAATTGGCGTATGAGACCTTAAATACTAGTAGCCGATTTAGCTTAATACACTACATTGCGAACCTGTCTATATTAGCAACCGCTAATATTTCTATCTAGTTTTCTGCTTTTTTATTGTCTAAACGATAACTTCAAATGATGAAACGACTTGATCGTATTGGTTTGATGGGGATCTGGGAAGTTTGTTGCAATTTTGTATGTATTTTTATTCCAGCAAATAGTTTTTGGTTTCGAAATAATTTACACGTGTTGTACTAGTACTATATACTAGTAACTTCTATCCTTGTTGCATACCATCTATGCATCTTCCATATCAGATGACATTTGAATTTTGACTAAGTCCACTAAAAGCCTACCAAACTTCAAATTTCATATTAAATGATGATTCATCAGACCACCAGACATATTCTACTTTAATATGGCTCAAACATAATTTCATTTTGTATATACAGACAAGTATATTTGTTGAGTAGACAACATAACCTACGGTATCGACCTGAAAAAAAATAATCACATGTAAGACAACATCACGGGGCATTTGTACCTAAGCATACATACACAAAGACAATGAAATCGTGTGCTTTCTTCCACCCATGTTCCACAGAGAGGTGTTCAAGGCCCGGCACAGGAAAACCAAACAGTTTGTTGCCCTCAAGAAGGTGTTGATGGAGAATGAGAAAGAAGGGGTGAGAAAATACATGTATCTATTTCTACATTCAGTTCAGTTCAGTTTATTACGATACCCTTTGGCCCATTAGGGCTATAATGATTGCTCTCATCTCACCAGAAATATTCATGGTCTTTTTTGACTTGTAATCTTTGTGTCTGTAGAGTGTAGATGCTGAATGCTTACATTTTTTATACCAGCAGCAACTTAGTATACATATAAAGTTACTATGTACAAAAGTTTCAAGGTATATACTAATAATATACACCAGTTCAAGTATGCAAAATAAAATATCTCGAGCCCTGCTAATGACAGATGAACCACTATGTGATGATAACATGTAGTTGAATTAATATACATTCTATATATAAAATATTAACATTTGTATTATTTTAGTTTCCCATTACAGCACTGAGGGAGATCAAGATTCTTCAAATGGTGAAGCATGAAAATGTCGTACAACTACTGGAGATCTGCAGAACTAAAGGTAGCTGGTTCGAATCCTCACAGATGTCACTTACCACACTTTTTTTTCTATGTAAATGCAGAGGGCACAAGTTTTCTTTATTCAGCACTGTAATCCCAAAATACCTCATCATTATTGCAGGCATCTAGCCACTTTCAAAACCTATTTGCACAATTAGAATATTGCCTATAATCAATGACAGTATGTAAGATGTACTGTTTAAGTAAAGATTGTAATGCATGCACCATTTATCATAACTCTCATTTCACTTTCTCGTCAGCTCTTTCTGCAGTCCCCAGCTGCAGGTTGATGAGTTTTTCTTGTGCCCTGTATTAGAACAAGTTTTGGACCCAACTATCTCCCCCCTGTCCACAGCGTCCCCTTTAAATCGCTTCAAAGGCAGTATTTACCTGGTCTTTGATTTCTGCGAGCACGACCTGGCGGGGCTGCTGAGTAACGCTAATGTCAAGTTCACCCTCAGTGAGATCAAGAAGGTCATGCAGCAGCTGCTGAACGGCCTGTACTACATCCACAGGAACAAGATCCTGCACAGGGACATGAAGGTGGTCTTAGTTATCTTCTTCAGCTCCAAACATAATTCATTACTGGTATCCAAATACATGACAGAACAGCTACAGTAGTCGTTTTCAAGACATAAACAGTTACTCAAGAAACCTGTCAGTTCATTACCGCTAAATATTTTCATTGCAAGGTATTGATTTGGAACACCAAGGCTTTTTGAAGAAATCTTTTTTAAATGTTGTAAAAACTGTGGTGACAAGTTTCCTTGCATAAAACTAGTGAAAGAGACATAAACACCAAGGCTGTTTTTATTTTGAATTAATATAATGAAGGGGTGATTTTATCTTCTGCGTAACTTGTGTTGCATATGTCAGTGATATGTAGTGATCAGGTATTCTCTGCCTATCTCTTTATCCTCTTTTGTATATTTTGCACGCAGTGCAGTAATTATAGTAACATTAGCCTTTTTACCTGTGTAACCTGCCTTGCCTGTACGATCAAACATCTCATGCAGGCAGCAAACATACTGATCAACAAGCATGGTGTGCTGAAGCTGGCAGACTTTGGACTGGCCAGAGCTTTCAGTGTGACCAAGAGTGGACAGGCCAACAGGTATGCTCTTTCTGTGGTCAACTGACTATACCTACCCAGCCCCATGATCAACCAGTTTTTTTTGTGGGGCCGAGGTAGAGAAAAGAGCTGAAGGTACTTTGAAGGGGTTACAAAAACTTGTTTCCTTATTCCTTAAACATTTATAGAAAACAAGTTTTCATATCTGTCGTTGAATCATTTTCTGCTTTGATTTTCCAGGTACACCAACAGGGTGGTAACACTGTGGTATCGCCCTCCTGAGCTGCTGCTTGGTGAGAGGAACTACGGCCCTCCCATAGACCTGTGGGGAGCCGGCTGTATCATGGCAGAAATGTGGACCAGAAGCCCCATCATGCAGGTAGGATGAGAACTGCAGGTCTTTGTGTCTTTCTTTCCCACATAACTACATGGACATGTATTTCTAATCTTTACCACATAAAAAGGGATTGGCCTTACATCAGATACAGCAAGTCAGAACCATACTTACAATACAGAAGCACACATAGGTATTATTTGTGATGTGTTACTTCAAGTGAAAGCACTGTTAAAAAATCATCATCATAATCTATACCTTTTCACACTTTCATCCAGGGCAACACAGAACAGCATCAACTGACCCTTATCTCCCAGCTCTGTGGCTCTATAAGTGCCGAAGTCTGGCCTAGCGTGGAGAAACTGGACCTCTTCTCCAAGCTGGAACTGCCCAAGGGACAGAAGAGGAAAGTCAAGGAGCGATTGCGAGCGTACGTCAAGGACCCTTACGCTCTGGACCTGATAGACAGACTCCTAACTCTTGATCCAACCAAGAGAATAGACAGTGACGACGCCCTGAATCATGACTTTTTCTGGGAGGACCCGCTGCCAGTAGACCTACAGAAGATGTTGTCCATGCACAACACGTCCATGTTTGAGTACTGGGCGCCGCCGAGAAGAAGAGGGCACGCACACGGGCCACAGGCGCCTGGGAGAAACCAGCCTGCAAACAACGATGCCACTTATGATAGAGTCTTCTAAAACTGCTATCCCACAAGAGAAAGCCTCATACAAATACAAGAGAAAGCTTTAGCTTTGTTGTATACATTGCAATATATTTACTTGGATTATCAAAGACTATAGTTTCCAGCAGGAAATGCATTATGTCAAATGTACATTCGAATAGGAATCATAGTTTAACGGTTCCACTTCCATGTGTACAGCCAGATACAGCCATAAGTTTGTATAAAGTAGCTTGTGTGGTCCTGTAGTGTAAAGAGACATACCATTATTATTAAACTGCCAAGTTGGTTGGGAACATTATCTTTTCATTTCAACTACAAATGTACCAGTAACAGTGTGATTAGACTCACTAGGTCAGATTTGTCCTTTCTGTTCCAGTAAGCAATACCTTATGTATACTTGTGGCAAAGAAGGGCTATTGGGAAGTAAAATATATGGTATGTTACATAGAAAATATTTCTTTGCTCATGAGAATATGTCTTTCAGCTTCTGATAGGTTTTGTTGTTGCTGGTGTAAATAGTTTTTTCACCTTCATACCTTCTCATCTGTTGGAATAAGTACCAAGTCATACATCATCATCATTGTAATCCACAAACTTTTATTTACATCAGTGAAGATGATTTTATTTCTGTCCATGAGAAGTTGACATGCATATAAAAAAGACACAGTCATGTAAGAACATTCCCCCAATACAACATGTAACTTATTAAGGTGTTGTGGTGGTATTGTCTTCCTGTCTTTTCTGACTTTCATCTCCATAGGTACTAGTGTCACCACACGGTGGTAAAATCTGGGCTGAAAAGTTCCCACATGTCATAGAACCCGAACTGTGTTCGATCGTGTTCGATCTGGGCAATTCGAATCGAACCCGCGTTCTATTTCGGGGTCACCTGCGGTCATTTACTATAAAGCGGCAAAACAAGCCTTTCTACCTCTGTGCATTGCAACAGATAAAAAACAACACTTTTCTATAGATACAAACAGTTTCCTGGACAGTACATGTCCGCTATTATTTTTGGTGGACATGTAACATGTAGCGAAGCTACTGTCGTATCCTTGAATGACCTTGAATACTGTAATGATTCTTTACGCCAGTATGAATAACACAATGCACACTTTCTGGCGATATGACATGTCTCCAAAACTCGTTCAAACCTGGAAACATGGAGAGTCAAACATACCCCATTTACGGCTCAAAATGACTGTAACGGTTGTCCCGAAAATCGTGTTTTAGGGATTTTTGAAAAATGGCCTCAATTTTGAATTATGGGTAATTTAGTGAGAAAAATGTAAAAAAATGCCATTTTTTCACCAATATGTCGACAAAAACTAGACTTAAAATCAGAAATTAAAAAATCCCTAAAACACAATTTTTTGTCTTATTCCTAGTCTAGTAAAAATATAAAAATCGGGGATCTGGGGTAATATACGTAGCCAGGTTTGAACGATGTTTGCCTAAAAACGTGACATGACTTGTGCCCGGAAACCCGAAAATAATCGTCTTTCTGAGCGAAATATTAAAAAATCATTGATTTAACATAAAAAGCTAACATTTAAAGGATGTTAAGACGATAATTTCATTTTAATTTGACGAAATTTACCCCTAAATATTATTTATGTATTTTCAAATATTTTACGGGTAGTCCAAAACAGGCCAAAATAGCGTGTTGTAACCCGATACCTTTTAGAATGCGCATAGCAATGGGAAAGAATGCCGTAGTGACAGACCGCCGTGCCAGGAGAAAGGATTCAGATCTTTCCAGTTCTAAGACAGACTTCTATTCTTAAAGTACTTTTTTTGTGCAGGAAGATAGGAATTTGAAATTCAAAAGAGAGATATGGAAGTACTGCAGAGGGTTAAGGTAAGGTAAAAACTTTTAGATGAAAGATGTAATAGAAAAAGATTGCCCAGTGAGTAAACTAGGCCTTCCTGGCAACTATCCAGCTTGGTAAATATGCAAGACAAGAGCCTTTTAACAACCTAAATTTGGCTAAAATTTCTCAAGATCATTTTTACAAAACATTTTCTCAATTTTCCTGCTTAATGTTATCAAGGTTGCCTCCCATTAATAGCCTTGAATGTATTCCTGGGTATCCTGTCAAAGAGAAGTAACCCTGATGCTCTCTCTATACTCTCCACTGGCACTAAGAAGTTCTTGAGGGGATAATTGTTGTCGATTTTGGCATTGGGCATGACGTAAGACTCCAAGATGAGTTCACCCTTGTTCGTCTCACAAGCTATGACCTTGAAGAAGTGGGTTGGCACGGCAACATGGTTTCGGCCAATCACCTCGTACTTGACATACATCTTGCCATCTGACTCCATCCTGTAAGTGAAACAGAACACATGGTCCATTGATGAAGGTTAGACATCCAGATAATTGTTATTCATCTACATATCATTTCATAGTTTTTGGATAAATACCTGTTCAACTACAGATTCTGTTAGTCACTGACGAAAAGTTGTGGATGCTGCTTTTGAAACATCTGAGAGTTTTCAGAACCTATCCAGTTGCTTCAGTGACAATTTCCTTGAGTACACAATGTGACTTGTAACACAATGTGAAGAGGTGTTCAACTGTCTTCCTGTTGTGTAACTCCATAAGCAATGAAAATTCTGGTCCAAAAGGTTATACCGGCAATGAGAAGGGTAAAAACAACGATTCTCACATATGTATGTAGAGAAAGTCAGGAAATATCAAGTACAATGCTAGCCTGAGTGTCAAGCCTTTTTAGCTTTCATCTGCTCCCCATGATTCGCTACTGGCAGGTAGTGGATCATGGGGAGCAGATGAAAGCTAAAAAGGCTGACACTCAGGCAAGTACAATGCTTCATAATTACCTTGGCAAGTACAGCGGTCCCGTGCAGACGTAGACATTGTTGAACTGTTTGGTCAGACCTCGGACATACCTCTCAAGTCTGTTCCACGCATCACGGTTAAACCCTTCTCCAACCTGTTCAACAATTCATATCAGTCAAAACTAAATAAATCAGTCTTACATGATTAATTTGTTCTTCAAATGCAAGCCAACGTAAGAATAAATACATTTGTCATCTCTAGAGCTCCAAGACTAGAAAAATTTGATTCCTCCCTGCACACACAAAAATTCCCAGTCCCACCCTTTTCTAGACCACCAAGCACCTAGGGTGGCAAAAAGACAGTATCAAATTGGTCAGGCAGTATCCATTGGCCAGATATATGCTACCTAAGGCGATTTGCCACCCTAGGATATGCTTGGAGATTAGACCACCACAGGACAGTTCTCACCTGTGGTGAGATGTTGCTCAGGTAGAAGGTATCTCCCATGGCGGACTGCGAGTGCCTGTGATTGGCTGCGGCTGCCAGGTGACCACGGTCGTACCCGCTGCGCTTGAAGTCCCAATTGGTCGCTCGGAAATATGGATGAATCGTCTCGTCTTCTTTAAAGTCACACTCCTGCCTGTCTGATTCCCCCCTTATGTGGGCAGAGGTGAGGTGTTCAAACACCCAATGTGGGTTCCTGTTTCTTCTGTCGTAGGAAACGACATATCCCTCACGCGACTTCAAGTCTGTGAGCCCCGGGAAACCAAACCTCATGATCTGACCGGCTTTCCCGGGGCTGGTGTGAGAACTGGGACCAGGGGGGACTGGGACTAGGTGTCCGGGAACTGTTCTGGTATCAACTTCATCACTAGGAGAAGACGTTTTGGCAAACACTGATGGAAAGGGGAGAGTTTTTCTTTCGTACTGGACTCCCAGCCATACTCCAACACCAACAGATGTCACCGTGGTGATAGCAGGGAGGAGGCGAGACTTGAGAGAGGACATTGAGGACATGTTTCACCCACTCCTATTGGAGAATAGCCTAGTGTTACAACACAAAGAAAAATTTATCATTGTGCAATACATAATGGTAAAATTACATGTATGCAATATCAACCAAGCATATGGTGTAGGAAACTAACGTTACAATGGATTGTTATTTTATAGCACACTAACACTAGTACCAGTGACATACTAGTAAATGGAATCAGAAACCGCAATAGCTTATAATGCTCATATTAGATTTATTCGGGAAAATTACATTGATCATAAAGTGAAACGTCCTTGAAACAACCCAACCCACCTCAGCTCAGCTGATCTTCCACAAAACCGGAACTTGACCTTTAACCTGTTATACTGGGATTTAATATTTCCCGTCATGCTACATTCCGTGACGTCACCAGAAAGCAGAAAATGGCGGCCGCAGCAGCTAGGTGAGCGATTATTTACCGAATTCTTTATTGATTTACAGTACTTTAAGATAGTTTCTACCTGCACAAGTTTAGGTAGACGTACAGGAGGTATCTAAGATATATCTGAAAAAATTTCACGGTGTGAAAGTATTCTTGTGGTGAGCTACGCCTAGAAATATATAAAGCGATTACTTTTTTTTCGAAACCGAAACGTCTCAAGAGAAACCACGTCGACCACAAAGGTACTAGTATTCGTCCACCGTGGTATTCGTCAAAGCTCCTTCGTCCTCGATCAAAGAAATGATTTTTTGCGGACAACACTAAGACACCTTAATTTACCGATCAAGGATCTATCTGGGACCTTTTTAATTAAATAAGAACACAAGTCTGTTAAATGTAGAGGAAGACAGTTTTTGTGCTAAGTGAAAGTAACAAAGCAGATTGTCAAAATTTGCTTGTCTGCACTTGTGTACAACAGAAGGGGCCACCCAGCCGCCAACCGTGTGTGCTGTCCTGAACACCCTGACGCTCACCTGATAGAAGACTACAGGGCAGGGGACCAGATCTGCTCCGAGTGTGGGCTGGTGGTAGGAGACAGGTATGTTTTCTTCTGCTTTCTTTTTCTCAAGTTTTTCTATAGCTTACTGTAAGAAAATAAATACATGCATTTGTTTTGCAACAGCATTTATTGCTGCAAAGCAGGTAACGCTACATTTCACTGGGAAAGATGAGTGTGAATAAACGTGTAGCAATTTACTGTTGAATGCAATGGAGGGGGAACAAAACAGGTATAAATGATCACCTTTACAAGTTGTCTCCCCATGCAAAATACAAAATAAGAGATGAAATTAGGATATGTCTATAAATTAATGATAATAATTACTTGTAAGAAAATAAAGTTTGAAAATGGAAAGCCTACAGGATGCCTAGAACCCAATTATTTCAATACTGATGATAACAATGATCCATTCCCTTCCCAGGGTTGTAGATGTCGGTACAGAATGGAGAACTTTCAGCAATGAGAAGTCAGACAAGGACAGGTCTCGAGTTGGAGCTGCAGAGGTAAGAAATCATAAAATTCTCTGCTTCACTGAGAGATCCCCATCTTTTTAGAATAACACTGAGTATGAAGTATAATGTCATGTATGGAGGTTTGGGTTTTGGTATGTTTGTCTGTTAGCTTTGTGTGTGTGTAGTTATTTCAACAGGGCCACAGGAAGTGAGGTGTAACTGCAGACTGACAGGAAGGTCAAATGGAAATTACTGCAGGCTGGGAGGACGTAAGGTCGAAGTGGAGGTCAAAATGGTCTTCCTGCAGGCTGGGAGGAAGTAACAGTGGAATGTGCAAAGAATCAGCAAGGCATTGACAGTGATGAATAAAACAAGGAATTCACTGAAATCTTCAATTTCTTGTGACCCAGGTATTTGTGTGATGTTCTACAAAATTTGATATTGAATTTGTTTTGTCCTTCCCAGAACCCCCTGCTGAGTGGAGGTGACCTGTCCACGATGATCAGTCGACCCTCGGGGTCAGCGGGATTTAACGAGGACGGCAGCGCCAAGTACCACAACAGAAGATCTGTAAGTACATGTACTAAAGTACCACAACAGAAGATCTGTAAGTACATGTACTAAAGTACCACAACAGAAGATCTGTAAGTACATGTACTAAAGTACCACAACAGAAGATCTGTAAGTACCAGACTCTGTGTTGTTGCCAGCCTTGGAGCTGGTTTAAGGCCACTGAATCTCAGGATAATTCTAAATGTCTTGTAACAATGTTTTGTTTTGCTAATGTTTCCAAAAGACAGAACGTGTAACACATGTATGTGTAGTACATGTACCTATTATTAGTGTGTTAAGCTTACTAGCTGATCTAAACAAGGTCACATGGCATGTGCTATATTCTGTTCCCAGATGTCCAGTTCTGACCGAGCCCTGGTGAATGCCTTCCGAGAGATCACCGGCATGGCAGACCGCATCAACCTGCCCAGAAACATCGTGGTCAGTAATGTGATATGATTCTACGCAGTACACAGGGATCCCAGATTGGCCCTTAGGTCGTGTCTTCTTCATGATTATTGTTTGGTAGTGTTATGAGATGTTGGTTTACATTCTAGTTTGCTGGAATAACTTCTGAGATTGACAACAAAGGCTCAGTCCTGTCAAGCTACACACTCTCTACTACCCATCTCATGAAAGACAGCCTACCACTTATTTACAGTACATCCAACGTCTCCTGGGAGTTAACATAACCAAGTCTTGGTGAAGTAGATCTCTTACCTTGCTAACAACAGAGAAATGCAAGAAACTTATAGTCACCTGCACAGAAGCTGACTGATAATGATGATTATGAGAAGCATGATTGTGATCTCTGATATTTTAAACCAAGATTTTAAACCTAAAAGACTATCATCCATGATAGTATCTGAATCTTTCCCTCCTTTTTTCAAAACAGGACCGGACACAGATGTTGTTCAAACAGGTGAATGACCAGAAGAGCCTGAAAGGTCGCAGTAATGATGCCATCTCAGCAGCCTGCCTGTACATCGCATGTAGACAGGAGGGCGTGCCAAGAACATTCAAAGGTCTGCATCACATCCAGTCCCTTTGAATGAAGAAAGCAAAGATCTCATACCTCTTGGAAATACATTGTGAATTTCTTGGTGTATTCCTTGTTGTAACATTCTCGCTGATTCTGGCCATGTACTTTTTCAGCTGGCTCCAATAAGGCAATGGTATAACCTTTTTCGGAACTTTCTGTAGGCTTTGATCAAGCCACTGATTTTTTCGAGCGTTGCGGAGTGAAAATCCAGAATGGTGCCCAGGCTACCATGATATGCCTAGCATGTGAAAATAACAGCAGAAAATATCTAAACATTGCTTGCTTGCATAATCAAGCAATCATTAGAAATCTACTTGAAATGTGACAAAGCTGATGCAAATCAATGTTTAGTAATAGTATACAGGCATGAGGTGATAGTTAGTTTAGTTCCTAATGTTTGTATCTTTCCCCAGAAATCTGTGCAATCTCACGAGTGTCCAAGAAGGAGATCGGACGAGTCTTTAAGTTAATCCTGAAGGCGCTGGAGACAAGTGTGGAGCTCATCACAACTGGAGACTTCATGGTGAGTTCAACTTTAGAAAAGATTTCAAGTCCTGTAGCTAAGGGATCGTTGTCAGAAGTTTAACCCTTATCTCAGAATGATTTTATTTGAATTGCATACAATGTTAATTGTGGAGCATGTCAGCGATTGCTGCTATCATGCATTACACATTAAATAAAGAATGTTATTACTTTAGCACAATATGGATCAAGCGTTTGTCTTATTGTTGTCTTATGTGGTACGATGTATATATGTATAATGATGATATGATTAGTTTTAGAATGCATGTAACATCACCCAGTCCTGCTACATTGTATTAAATTTCTCTTGTCTTGTTTCCAGTCACGGTTCTGTTCTAACTTAAACCTCCCGAGTCAGGTCCAGCGAGCAGCCACCCACATAGCCAGGAAAGCTGTGGAGCTGGACTTAGTTCCAGGGTAAGATTGACTTCACATTCACTTCAGCCACACAGAGATGGCTTTCTCATACAAAATGTTACATCATTTCTTCATTGATTGTCATCATTTTAGAGACTCTACAAGTCTACTAAAATGGTTGCACCACCAAATCTTAGCCTTGTTCCTTTTATGTTCTAGTATTGTATTGGTAATGATTGCACTGTGTAAATGTGATTGAAAATGAAATTTGTCTTTTTCACAGACGAAGCCCCATCTCAGTAGCAGCAGCAGCCATCTACATGGCATCTCAAGCCTCAGAGGAGAAGAGAACTCAGAAAGGTGAGATTTTCTTAAAAATTCAATGGAATTACCTGTATTACAGCAGTACTAGTGATTATCCTTCTCCCTGCTGCCTAACCCTGTATACTAACATAGTTTGTGGCAGAAGCGACAGGGATCAAGTTTTCATTGTCGTCAACTGTTTGATTGGTGAAAGTTGAACTTGTAGCTTGTACTATAATTTTATGGCTATATGTATGCTAAGTATGATTTTCTGATACAGAAATTGGTGACATTGCCGGAGTGGCTGATGTTACAATCCGCCAGTCGTATCGCCTGATCTACCCTCGTGCCCACGAGCTCTTCCCCTCAGACTTCACGTTCCACACTCCCATCGACCAACTGCCACAGCTGTGAAACAGCCACCCAGTCTCAGACAGATTTGTAAGGGGTATTATAGATGTATCCATTTCTTTTATAAACAGAGAATTTTGGAAAAATTTTTTGACAGAATAATTCTGTTGTGCACCAACAGTCATCCAGACTTAGGGACAGACGAGATCCTTTTTTTTTTGTACCACACTTGTTATTCAGTATCAGTCAGTGTATCATTAGACTCTTGGCAGTTTCTAGTTATATTATATTATCAACATGTAGGTACATCCTTTCAGTAACTATATCAGAAATGCTACTCCTATTTATAACATAAATTTTCAGCTTAATTGTCATGGAATAAAGTCTGTTCTCTTGTATGAAGAGCCATACTTTTTACTCTGAAAAAGAAGTTAGGGTATAGAAGCACTAGAAGTGCTGAACTGAAAAAAAAAGGAATCCCTGTGTCTATGTTTGGTTACTGTTCTGTTCTGTTTCAGAAATTGTCAGTTAAACTATCTTTACATCACACTAGTAGCAATAGGAATACCTTGTCTTGTCACTCTTCCTTTCTGTCCATATCAAGTTTCAACCATGACTCCAAAGATTATGATAAAAAGTTACTTCACTTGAAGTTGCAAACCTGCTATACTTGACGTATAAATGTAGATGAAAGTCAAGTTCATTCCAGTGGTTGTTATAGCATATCTGTAATGTTACATTTTCAAACATATTTTCTTAGCATCAAGTCAAGATATGGAACTTTTTCCAGGCTATGATTATTTGCTTGGATGGATATACCACCAGAGCAAAGACACCAAACAGTTGTGTTAGGTCATCTTTAATGTCTTGAGAGTAGAGTTTGAGACATTTTTGTAGATGCCTTTGTGATTAACACTGTAACTGTGTAAGCCAGACTACCACCTCATCTAACTTCCTATCTACATGTAGCTACCATTTATAGTAAGATAATATTATGTATCTCGTAACATACAATGCAAGTAGAAAATGTAGTTGTCATCAGGTATATATTATTACATAGATCATTCTTTGATTTGCTTAAATTCAGAAGGAGAAAAGGCAATATTACCTTGATATCTTCTTTAATAAAAAAACTAGACAGACAGAAACCAAAGCTAAAGGTTATCTACATGAAGCTACATTTGTACTTGTTTTTCCTTAGAAGTACACAAATAAATGCTTGAAATACATGACCACAATATTGTGCTACCTGTACCATTGTTTTTGCTGTCAGACTGGTCAATTTTTGTTACTTTTTTAGTTAGCATAAAATGATCCCAAACTTAGTAAGAAACAGGGTTGACTTTTGAGTCCAGTTAGTCATTTGCTGGGACTAGTTACTTAAAAGAAAGTCTCGTGCAGTCTTCTTGCAATTGAATTTTGTACACGTCGAGTATCGTCATGTTCACTTCTTTAAATTTTATTTGTAAGCGTCTTGATCAGACTGGTTGACAGTAATTTCAGTAAGAAACAGCCTGATGTCGTCCTTAGGCTTGGGCGGGAACGTGCGAGTGTTCCAGTTGTTGTTCTCCTGATACCTGTTCAGCCATGGCGGGATCTGAGTATAACGTTGGTACAGGTCGTCTGCGAGTTCCCCCCTCTGGATCCCGACAAACGCTCGTCTCAGGATCACGACTTTATCGTGCAGCTCCGGTACCTGCTCCTCCCACTGTCGGAACATCTCTGCACAGCGCGACCGCACGCTACCGGGAATCTTCTTCTCTATTGCTGACAGCTGTAGAGACACAGAAGGGTTACTTGAGGAAACATTGTTTAGCTGACAAATGTTATGTGTCCACACTGATAACTTGAAAAGGGTACAGAAATCAAATGAACCTAAAGGATTGTGGAAAACCTTACCATCCACCACGCAAAAAAACAGTTACTCAAGCAACTGGATACAATTTTGGAAATCATATCTAGTTGCTTGAGTAACTGAGTTTTTTTGGCATATCTTATTACCGGTGGATGTCTAACCTTCACCGACCTACCATCTACTACTCTTTTGTTCTGTTGTGTTCTAAGTGAAAATTTATAAAATACAGTACAAGTAAATATATACCGTGGCCTAGCCTTATCTAATGGTCCAAAGGGAAGGTCAATTTCTCAACTACATGGGTAGTATTCCCAGAGTTGTGTACACTAAACATTGGCATGTGTACTGACAATGACATTGTAAACAGAGTGTAATCAGTAGATCACAACTGACCGTAGCTTTGATGTCAAAAGCCTCAATAGTTTTGCAATTGAATCTTTAAACATTTATTAAGTCGTGCTGACATGTCAAATAATTTTCATGGCTTGCCAATTTGCCATATACTTCCTGAACAAAAAGTATATGTACAAAGTTTCTAAATGAAATTAAGTAGAATTCAAAACAGAAGTTATAACTGTGGTACATTGTACATGTACTTACATCCTGTCGTGTGAATCCAAGCTCAAAGGCCAGCAGTTTCCAGTCGTACCCAAGCCTCCTGGCCAACCAGCCTGTGTAGTTTTCCCCCAGTTCTGTCAGGGGAGTAAAGAATTAGACATTGGAAAATAACAAATCTGCAAACATAGGGAAGCTACTTGCATATTGTCAGGGAGGTGACCTGGTATAATGCTACATTTATAAACAAACGCACAAGTGTAGCTGGATACTTAACATTAGAATCTCATCATTCCAAAGCAAGCCATAAACGATGTAGCCTACCAAGTGGCCTTACAGAAAAAATGTAAAACAAAACTTACCATCAAGACCGACAGTCTGTTGTTCTTCTCCCATCTTCGGTAGCACTGAACCTCAGAGCAGAATTATGCAGAATTTTCAACCTAATAAATAACCTTTTTAACACGTGCAATTATCAAATTCAATGCTGTGCGTGCTGAACAGCCAGACCAATAAATAATCATAAATCAAACTTCCAATGCAGGTATTAGCAACAACAGTATTTAAGTATACAGTCCGTGGGTCTCTGAGATTTTTATCAGGCATACAGCTGAATAAGGTACTAGTACCTTAACGCATACACCTGACAGGCTTAAGGTTAGACACAAGGTGTTGCATGGCTACTGCAGGCCCCCTGGTAACAACTGGCTATTCATTATGTCCATTCATGGTCCTACCGTTACCTGTACATTGATTGGTCAGACAATAGGGAGGGATCATGTTTCTGTTAGTCAATCCCGACACACTAACCAATCAGGGGCATTGTGTTCTAAATATAGAGACTGAAGGGTGGTTTCACCAAGGAAAGTGAAATGAATATTTAATGAGAATGGTACATTGTAGAGGTGTTCCAATTTTGTCAAGTATTGATATAAGGAGACATGCAGCTTGAAATATTAATGAGCATTGTAAAGTTTTTATTATTTGTCAGTGCTCTAAATTCTATTTCACAAAAGCCAGTATCTATAAGCAGAGAGCCACGTGGAGAAATTATGATAAAGGTAAGACTGTACTCTTCATTAGCCCTAGGACATTATATACATATAGGAAATACATATCCTTAATTAGATGTCCTTTAATTAGACTCTAGAGTTTCTGTCACAGAATATATTATCTTTATCTGTCATTTTTCTTTAAAAAAACAGTCAATTGCAGTTATCCATAGTAAACTCTTGTTGGTAATGTGAAGAGTGTATCTGTGCTCTCCTATCAAGTCATTAGTCAACTTCTAAGCTAAAATCTTGCTCATTCGGCAATTCTGCCCTGTCCACAAAACAGCTCCCCCTGGCACTTTGAGCTTATATTGCACTTTCTTTGAAATCACCTTTTTTTACATTCTCTGGCTACAGTCTTTTATTTGATAAAATAAAACTCAACATCAAGCCAAGATTCTGACAAATCTATGAACAAATGTTTATTGGCAAGATGGTGGAACTTACAAAGAAAATCGTACTTTAGTCAATCTTCTAATCATGATAACAAATCAACTGTCAGTTCAAATCGGTAAAATCTATTTTACACAAGGAAAAAGCCATACATACATAGATGTTCTATACTCCAAAACTCATGTCTGTCCAACTTATGTCAGTTTAAGATCGACTGCTACATATATTTAATAAATTCTTACATCGACAAGTTATGTGACCCCTAAATGCAGGGGTTCACAATGAAGAATCGATGTATTTCTAAGTTCTCTACAAAACTATATTGATTTCAATCATCACTGGAGCAGTCAGTAGTTAAATGGTGCCTGGCCAGTTTGTGATCTGTAGAATAACCGTTCTGTGTAACATTTCAAACTAAACAGTCCTTATAATTTCTTTACCTAGGGCCTGTAGGGGTCAGACGAAATAATGTCTTCTTGCAGATAACTACAGTTTACAGATTTAACTCACCACCATCGTAGAGGTAAGGATATATACTATAGCAAATATTTGTAAGATATGCTATGTTACATGCAATGAAGTTCAAAGAAAAAAGTCTTATCTACAGACGGATATCTACAATTGCTTCAGTGTTTACAATATGTGCATTTCGGCCGAGTTTGATCCAGACGGCCGATTATCACTTTGCTTTCCAAGTGCTCAAGATTGATTGACACAAGTGGATCACAAGATAAAATGGCTACCTTGAAATCATATTTTATGTTTTTTTGTAGTGTCCTGCAATCACCATTGCATTGTTTGAAAATGTAACGCTATCTGAGATAATTCATTAGTCTATTAGACTACAGTGGGTAACAAGGCAAGGGGACTCAGTAATAACATGTCCACTACTAATATCATTGACGAAAAGACCCAAAACTGGCGCCTTTACATTTTCCCCTTCTACAACAATTTCTTCACAAAGAAATAATGTTTCTTTCAGAATCTAAACAGTACAATCATGTTTTCTCCTTAATATGCACCTTAACCGTAATATTCAGACAATGACTCCGGAATACAGCTACACCTTGGAAAGTTGCCCGCACTCAGAACTTTCCTTTCATCGTGTTATTTCACATAGAATTTATAGTATACAAGGACTATTCTGACATCGTCACACAATAAAAGGAAAGCTCCGATGTGTACCCCGTGTACATTTCTTTCACCACTAGATGTTTAAAACTAGTTTCTGCATCTGTATAGCCGGTATAACCGCCCTTCGGCATAACACACCAGCTTCAAGTTGTCAGTCTGCATCTGGGTTTTATCAATATGCCGTCCCAAGCATTGGACAGGTATATATGGCTCAGTCAACGTTATTGTTCTTTTTATTGCTGTGTATATCGAGCTCAATCAATTAAGATTTCAGACAGAACAGGCCGTTTGACACACGACAGAGAGGGATGGAGGGAGGGAGGCAGGCTTATTGCATGGCCATTAAGCGTCTCCACGACCATCCCCAGTCAAGGGACCGGTAAGCGTTAAGCCTCACGCGTCCATCCCCCCATGCGCGCCCAGCTCGTCGTCCATGTACTGCCCGTCCATGAAGGACGTCTCCTGGACGGACTCGCCGTCGTCCCCGCCGTCCACGTGCACCTGCACCAGCTGGTACCCCTCGGGAACCAGAACCGTGGTGGGACCGCGCGACGACTGCCGGCCTATCGATGAACGTCTGGAACGACACGTAACCGAGGACGTAGTATGTAGAATGAGTATACGTTACCAAGTGTACTCAGCAAAAGTTACACAAAGTTACAAGAAGTTATACGAAGTGTTTTGTACTTGAAGCTAGTACGAAATGTTATAGATTACGGCGTTAAAATGATGAATTACTTCAATAATATGAAATACTAGTAACACAATTAAGATACAAAACGTACATGCACAATCTGCTAATAAACCCAGCAATGGGTTCAGCAGTCAATGAAGAAGATATACTGAAACCGGAAGAGCCTACAGTACCACAAAAAGCTGCTAGGAGACCCAAAATTTATCTTGTCCTCCCTCTTGCACACTCTTGCACCTATCGTACGGATCATACAAAGCTTCTCTAGGTATGCTGTAAACAAACTCACACACATACAAAAAGCAGCAAAAATATAATTTTGTTGGCAAAGGTAAATTACCTTGATTGCGAGTAACTTCCCACAGTTTTTGCTGTCGGCACCGCCATGAGTTTGGTTCCCGGCTGCGGGGTGTACTGCACCCTCCTGAACCTAGGGGGCGCCATGGGCGGCGTCAGGATCACTCCGTCATAGGGGTTCATGTACTGCCTCACGGGAACGTACCTGGGAAGGAATGGAAGGTTTATTGATCAAACAAGTAGTTACATCGCAGCCGTACGCTGAGCTGGGTACTTACATGTATATTACAGATGGTACTTAAAAACAGACCACTTGTTTATACTTGAAACTGATTCTTTAAAAGGGTCCATCTAGGGTAACAGTGAATGTACAAATCTCGCTTCTTAGCACCTGTTCAGTTAACAGTTTTTTTTAGCAAAAATATGAATGATGAAAATGTTCAGTATGCGTAAGTTTTGTTATCACTGATTGTTTAAGAAAAGGGTCATGTAGAGAATCGGACTGCTCAGAAATGTACGTCGGTGAAGGTTAGACATAAGATATACCAAAAACCAGTTACTCAAGCAACTGGATTCCAAAAGCTTTTCCAGTTGCTTGAGAGACTGTTTTTTGGCGATGCTGTGAAATCTGTTTGTTCTTGTCCTGACAGTAGCCAGTAAATGTTTCTGTCCAGCCAGTAAAATGTCTCTGCTGCTGAAGTAGCTCACGTACCCGCCGTACCCCCCGTACCTCACGTTGGGGGAGTACATTCCCATCCTCTGGAACGGCATACCCATTCCCCCGAATCCCGGCATACCGCCCATAGCTCCCATCATCCCCCTCGGGCCGGCGTGGTTCATGGGAAAGCGGGGCATGCCACCGCAGCCTGTGGGTAACCTGCCGTTGGGGATGGCCCCCGGGTTGCCCCTGCCTCGCCCCACCCCGCCCGTGGCACCCGCAGCGTTCTCTGTTGTTTCAGTAGTGCCTCCTCCTCCTCCATTCTTTGCTACAATGATAAAGAACACACCGAGACGTAAGCACAAAAGAGGAACATTGAATACTATTCCGTAGCTTCACAGAAGATATTGATGTCTTCTAATAAATAGTAATAATAACATTTTTACAGAAGCAGCTGCGCACTCGTCTCTTTAGCCTAAGGTCTACACATCATGTTCCATAAACATAAAATGGTAGGTAAAATATAAAAGAGGACATTGTGAATTTTAGCCTCGAAGCCATTTTGTTGCGCATTGGATAGAAGTGTAAAACAACGGAAGGGCATAGAAAAGTTCCCTAAGTTGGTGCATGCATATGGTTATGGCTTTTTACCCTGGGTATTATTAAATCCACATGATTTTCTTTGCCATACTTTGTCCTAGAGTGCACTATGGAGGAGCTATATCAGACCAATAGCTATTATATCTGTCTACCTATATAGTATCTAGTACAAAGCGTTTCAAGTGGCGAAGCTGCTTTAAGTGCGGAAAACATGCAAAGCGGAATCAATTGCGAACGTTCACAGCCAAGGGTCATCAATTCCTAACGTAGGCGCTTGTTTTAACACAGGGTAAGGTCCCTATCCATGATATAAAAACATCTGTTAAAATACAGCACAAAAGCACACGAAGGTAAGGCCAGACTACGCAAAGCAAGCGTTCCATAGCAGGGCAAGTAGTGCTACACTGCGATGGAAAATAACCAATACTCACACGGCCCTGTAACACATTCCATTCAATGATTGAAGGAAAGACAAATTCATTCATATCAATTGTATCAGTATGTCTTTATAATCAACTAAATTTAGAACTAAGAAGAAAACGCAGAAGAATTTAGTATCTATTGAAGAGATCTAGAAAGTTACTATCGAACATTACTAAGCTACCCTAAAGGCAGAGAGAAAGGATGCTTTATTTGAATGATTTGACATTTTGTATTGAAAACACATCTTATTCATCAATACGTGAGTGGATTACTTACCCGCTGACATTTCGTAAACTTTTTTCTTTCCTTCGGTTCTTTCCTGCAAGAGAGGAGATAACAGATAAAGGGTTATGCGTTGGTCTAGACAGAACTCACGCGTGTGCAACTTAAACCGTGAATCGGCTTACTGTCGTATTACCGTTATCGTAATATGGAATATCCGATGACAGTTATATCACTTACATATTGTAGCTGTATCCTCAAGTCGTTGTTCGCTTCTTTGTAAGATTTTAGGAGAGACTGTAGATAGTAGATTGCCATTCTGGAACAAAATTTTCAATACGTCAGTCATCATCTGAAGCAAATCCGATTTTTAGTAGGTGTGGATGTCAAATCAACAACTAGTATTACCTCTCTCACATAATATATCCATTGTCAAGACAAGGGGCATTTCTCGGTTGATAACAATATAATTACTTTCCTAGCTATTTGTAAAGAAAAGCTTTGGACATTTCGATGTATTACTGGCAGTAACTCGTGACCCATAACGACAACTTAAGTTGACTGCGTAAACCATTTCTTTGCCAACGAAAATAGTTTCATTCGCTATGCGCAGCAAAAGTTGTCGCTGTGGGCCTTCGTTCCAACTGTGTACTTACATCAGCAACATGAATAAAGGTATCATGACGCCTGCTGTGCTGAGGTACGCCATGACAGACCTCATCCAGGGCGGGAACTTCTCGTTCACAGTGTCGGAAATGATGTCAAACATCCGTTCTTTTCCACTGTAGACAAACAACAACATAACGTCGTTAATGAGATTAAACTAGATTTAATGTCAGATCATATGTTAGATCAACGATTCTGGAGGCCAGGCAGTCTGTACGTCCTACACAGGCCAGCTCCTCAGCTTCATTGCCAAGGAAATTTTAACTCAAACAATAAGGCAAAATTTCCTTGGGTTCATGTTGACCCTGAGGCCGATTGAATAGCTGGCCCGAGTAGGCCCTGGAAACAGTGCTACAATTTATCTGAGGCGTTGGACAGAGGTTGCAAATCAACAACAAAACTACATTATAAGCTCAGGATCTTTTTCAGAAATGCAAGATAATAATTCACAGAGGTTAGACATTTACCTGAACGGACCACAGTTCCTGGACGGTTCTATAGAAACCATCACATACCCTGTCGGCAACATGCTCAAAAACAACATGATGAGCAGCAGGACGAGATAGAAGTTGTTAGACCTAAAGGTAATGCAGAGAAGAGTCGTTCTCGTTAAACATACTTATTATGCCAATATTTCACATAAGAAAACGTAGCAACATTCATAGCAAAATAGCTTGAATACTGTATCGTTGAACGTTGTAAATGTGTACTCCAAATATGTATATTCGTCGATAAATCATAATGATAAGTTACAGTAATAAAGCTGTGTTGTAAAAAAAATCGACATAAGACCAAAATAGATTAGTTCTTTGTCTATGAAATTCGTCGAGCGATCTGTGAAATCTTTAGTCGAGTCGCTAAGTAGTTGCTCCGCTAGCCTCTAGCGGCAATGGGACGTAATGTACAATGAGTGTCCTACCTAGAAGCGCGGAAGACCCGCTCGTGAGGAATGTTGCACATCATGACGGCCCAGCTGCGCAGGTACATCAGCCCGATCAGCTTTAGCACGTTCAGCGCCGGTAAGCTGGGGGCGAAGAACGCTCCCATCCTGTCGGGCGGACCGGGATGTTTAGGGACAAGCACATATATTAAGGAACGGGCATTGTTTCTGACTGAGGTATATAAAAGATATGTCTATTTGCAAAGGGTGGCTGGTACACCAAGAGTTCTGTCAAAACATGCAAATAAGGAAACTCTTTTTTTTAGACAAATAACGAAATGGTATATTTCAAAAGGTTACTATAGAAAATCCTCTGACTAATTTTATGACTATTGCAAGATTACATGTTGACGTATTGTGTTTAGCTGCAGACAATTAGTAGTGAGATTAGTTTGAGATCGTTAAGAACTTATATGATCAGCCTCAACGGTAACTGTAAAATACATATAGTAATTACATACCATATCATTCCTTGGTTGTAGATTAGATGCAGGACATTGTCGGCGACTCCAAACTCTGCATAGCCAGGCTGCAACAAAGATGTACAGAAAAAGGCAACAACAAGTCATGGAGAATTAGAGAAGCCCAAATCGTGAAATAGAATCATATTGTCTTAATTTCGTAAGAAGACAATATTGTGTAAATACTAATATAATAGATACAGCAACTCACAAATCCTGTCTCCAGGTCCCAGCACCAGCAGTAGTTAGCGAACCGCACGAACAGACCGCGGAGAAACTCCAGAATGAATGTCGTGACGACGGTGGCGATCATGTCAAACACCGACAGTTTGAACATTTCCTGCAGAAATATAATGCCCTTATCACAAGACAGATATTACCATATTTATAGGTATATTGTTTAAACATTTCAACTTAATTGAAACTATTATTACGCAGAACTTTCTAGTAGATTCTGTTCATGATTGCCACGTCACTAGGCCTACCTGACCTTGACCGAGTCCTTACCTGTCCAACTATTGTCTCCCAGCACTGTTCCTTTATCCCCGCCTTCTGTGCCAGAATGTCCGCCATGGCAGTGTTGTTCATGCCTATTTCAGCCACGGCCTCCCTGATGAGTGACGCTGCAGTTGCATTTTGAGCCACCAGGGTGTTGTTGTAAGCAGCTGCCTCTAGGGCTTGCAATGCTTCACGGGCTTTGCGGGCTTCGTCGGCCTGTGTTGAAAAAAAAGCAAAACCTTCAGTTTAGGCCGACGCATGGATCCAGAGGGTGGAGTTCAGCCCCCGCTCGGGCACGATGTGAGGGGTTTGTCATTTCGGATGGTGACGTAACCACTTGTTGGTTTGTACTTCAATGAGATGTCTTTCAAGAAAAACATATTGAGAGGTACTTACAAGGTTGTTGACCTTCTTGAAGAGTGCAATCATCAGTGTGTAGAGATTGCCGAGATTCAGTACCATTACCCTGCAAAGTATCATAGATTAATAGGTCAACTTTAATTACAGATATCAACAAGTCTACCTCAACGCACGATATCTTATACGTTCATAAGTACACACGATGAGCGTAAGAATCAAATGTCTTAGTTCTTTCCTTAAGGTTACACATGACATACCTTGCTAGTGACCACCGCAACATGACACGTGGATGATATTTTTCCATCCCACCAATCAGGTCGAAGAACACGGGAAATACCATGGTGATGATTGACACCACCATAGAAACCTTCACAGCAAATAAAAAGAGAAGGGAAAGAATATAAACTGCAAAACGCTGTACTATACCTCAAGAATTTTACGTCAAATAAGAAACAAATGATCAACAATTATGATTATGATAATACCGAGTTAAATATGAGTTTTATGATACACGTTCGCTGTTACCTCATTTTGTTCCCACCATGACAGTTTGGAAGGGTCCATTTTCTCAAACTGCTCGGACCGTTCCACCACGAGCTGGATGGCATACCCAGATCCGGCCAGTAAAATGGTAACCAGAACATTAGCCAGGACGCGTAGAGAGATCGTGATATACCTGCAAGTAAACATACATTATAGGTTAGTCGTAATTTGAGATTTCATGAGATACAGACAATATAAAAAATGACGCATGGCTATAGAGGACTCCACATACTAAGATAAAAGTATGCTGATGTCAATGAAGTGAGATTTTTTCAACCGAAGACGGGCTATCGGAAATGCATTTTAGCTGTAGTCTAGCAAAGTAAGATGATTTTCAACAAGGCACTAGATAAGAATAATCGTTGAAATATCTAAACTGAACTGTTTGTAAATTGATGACTTAATAAACGAGTGCGCTTAATGTTATTGTAACAATCCATGCCTATAGCTAGGTAATATCCATTAGGACGTGATAGAAGGAGCTGAGTTAGCTATGGTTTGCAGGGAGCAATAAAAATGGTAGCGTGTGCGACGGGGTGCTATCAAACAATGACGAAGTTGAGGGAAATGAATGTTCAGGGGCAGTGCGCGAGGTTGGACTGTGACTTAGAGCAGCTCGTCTGACAAAAAAAGTGAGAGATAGAGTAGAAAAGAATCGCGTTTCTGAAAGGCAGGGGAGCCAGCTGGAGGAGGAATGTTTCAGACGAGTCCATCTATCGTCTGCTGTGACGTTTGAGGGAAACTTCACAGGACTGAGGACGTAAATGTTGCAAGCGTAGGTTGGAAGGCAGAAATTGGCTTTGGGAGCTGAAAAATGGACTGGTCTTGGCAAAATACCAACCTTTCCTTCTTTGAACTGACAGTCGCCAACACGAGACGAGACAGGGAGAGATCGAGATACGTTACAATCAAATTGAAAAATTAGAAAAAAATTCCTTTGGGTATAAAAATGGACAGAGAAAAATTTAAACTGTAAAAATATCCATATCTTTATTCATGTGCTGTAGAATATGCGTATTGATAGGATATCTCATACGAATTTATAGGTTATGAAAATCTTTGATAGCCGCAAATCTTCATACCTAAACAACAGCCAGTACTGTATGCAAAATACACACCTCTGTTCGTCTTTGTTTTTCTCCTCTTCCTCCAATATTGCTTCCTAGATATGGCCGGGGTTTAGCATCAAAATTGTTAGCAAACGAAAATTTCATGCTGATTATGTTTAGTGTAGTTACTTGATAGCTTTGTTTTGTATTAATGGCGCATTACGAATATAGATACAGCCGTAGTTAAGAACCTATAGATGTCACAACAACACAATAACGTAGCTAGGATTATGTGAAATACAAATGTACGGCATGGAACGTGGCACACACATACACACGCACATAAAACACACGCAAACTCTCAAATACCACTCCACAAAGAGAACTGAAAGATGATGTGATGGTGGCGGAAACAAGTGTTTGTTTTCACATGTTTGGTAGATGTGCTCCACAACTTTTGTTATCATGTCTTTGCTGATTTCAATCAGCAATGCAAGAAAATAGCACAAACAGTTAGGCCTGTCATGTTAGGTCAGAGCTACCATTGCATGCGTGGGCATCGTAGCAGAGAGTGTTAAAAATGTAGTTGTTAGCAAAATGATTGTACATCTGGCAGGCAATCAAATAGACCAGTACTCAAGATGCTGCAGGTCCAATGCTTACACAGTACAATGTATGGAGCACATCTACTAACAAACAGTCTACAACAACGAGGCTGCTTTCACGTTGGAATCGATCTTACTCTCAGCCCAGTGGTGATGGCAGCCACTTTATTGTCGGCCGTCTCGGAGTTGCCAATCAGGTAGTCCCACCCGCAGAAAACCTTCCAGCAGAACTGGAACTGGTCGTCAGACGTGGACATCTTGCTCATGCGGGAGTTCTTAGCCATTCTTCAACGGGGTTACACGGTAAGATAAGAAGATGTATCAAGGAGACAATCAACGTGAGGTTGTCATCGTTACAGAAAATCACACGACGAATTCAGATATGTGCCTGGTCTGAAAGCGATGTACTATATTGTTGACGTGCTAAAATCTTCGTCCATGCAATACCGATTTCTGATACCGGTTTTAAACCTAAAGCATTTCTTCCTCACGGCAAACTAAAAATATCTACTTACTACATGTGCACATCATATGTTTAACGACAAGATGTATAGAAGATACTCACTGTCTTAAAATGACGGCAAAACTGTATACAAACGTGCTTATCCCCACCAGGAAGTACGCTAGAGGCAGCTGATACCCGCTGCCGATGGACTTAGCGTTACCGTAGTACCCGTAGAACAGGACTGAATATTGTAGATAACCCTAAAAATCAATGATTCTTTGTTAGTTTCTTGTCATTGGATCTTCGATACATGCTTTACTCTGGATATTACACCAACTCTTGATTGACCCATGGTCAAATGTTTTATTGAATATAACACCTTTGTCTCAAAGAATTGACCAACTTCAATACATGAATGAAATCTTCCACAGCAAGAAAACAGTAATCAATGTGCAATGAAATTAAATTACAAGTATAGTGCACATGTATGTTTTTGTTGACTTACCCCAAAGTCCCAGATGGTTCCGATATGCGCTGCTCTGTGAAGTTCGTCATTTGGAACAGTCTTCCTTGGAATGGAGCCGTATGGGAAACCTGCAACAAGCTGTGAAGAAGGATAAATCAGTTTTACAACTTCACTGTGTTTCAACATTTATTTCAGTTGTGAAGTTAACCCAAATGTGTCGCTCTGGTGATGTATTGGTCCATCAGCAGAAAACTATTCCTCTTTGCAAAGACATCAAGTAACGTGTTCCAGGTCTTTAAATATCAACTATAATACATCAATATATCAATCATTTGTACATTGCAATTTAAAACTGACCATCTGCTGAAGATGGCGGAAATGCCTCTTCTGTTTCCACTATTCGTATCTTAGAGACCTAAACTTTATCTTAAAATCAATGGGCTGTTTTTGCTGCCCGTATCAAAAATTGAAAAGGGTTTGGCTGCGCTCAAGGATAACCCCTTCTCACGTGATCCCATTATTTTGGCAGATTCCATATTTCAGTGTAGAATAGCCCTATTATTGTTAGCCCTGTCATCAATCTTTTGAAACAAATTTGGGTCACTCGTCACCAACGTGCTCATGATCAGTAAACCCAGTGTTCGGGCACCCAGGTAATCAAGACAACATCTGGAAGCAATCATGATAGAGGATAAAGACATTTCTGGTTTCCTTTTGACGTACGTATGATGGACAAAATGTTTCTTTTAGAAACAGCGCTTCTGGTTGTAAAATCTTGGATCAGTATTGAAGGGAATCAAATAGACAACTGTTCCTTTGTTCAAGATAACTATCACACACATTCTTGAAAGTAGGGCACATAGTACTTATCAAATCCGTATTGTATTGGGCGTGCCAGACAAGGTAATAGCTCCATTATTGCCAAATGGGACGATAAGTGCTATATGTTGGTTTTATCGATTTTCATTGAATGGAAAGTCTCCTTGGATAACGGAAACAAAGCCAGTTGGCGTTATTTGGGACAGAAAAAGTCCATTCGTGTATTGTGGCTGTTCGACCAGACCTTTGTGTCTAAATGGTCTAGCTGGAAAAGCACTAAATGGTGACAACAAATTTCCGGTATGTCACGTACAGAGATCATTGGAAGAAGCTTGTATCTGGTACATGAGGTGTTTGGCATTGAAACCGTATCGACTGCACCAGATGTTACAGTTGTAGAACCGCAGGAGATTTATCATTCCTGATCGATATCAGGAGTTCGTGACCGTTTTAGTTTCTTTCAGGTTCTTTTTCTTGCGACCACTCACAAATATATTTTACAATCATCAAATAATTTTGTTTGTCAGACCCTTAAACTAATCAAAAGGGTCTTAGATAGGCTTTGTTTATTCTTGAAATATTATCAGTGACAATCACAACCAATGGCAATGATCTTTATTTGCACATCCATGCCCGTGTGGGCTACTTGCAGTACATGTAGTTTCACACGAGGCATGGGGTCGATAGAGACACTATGAGTCAAAGGAAGCACTACACTACATCTATCACCACTGCTGTGCATGTTCACCTACCTCTGGAATGATGACAAAGGCCATAGTGAAGATGGACAGGACGATGTTAATCCAGAACAGCCAGCGCAGAAACAGGAAATACGACGCCACCACTGACCCAAAGTAGCCTGTGGAAATAAACTCATAAATACACGTCTCCACCCAAAGGCCAGGGTTTTTCTACTGTCTCCAGGTACACTTTGTATAAAATCTGACGAAAAGAAGAATTAGAATATACCAGTTATACCAAATTTCAATTGCAGTGTGAAATACATAACAATCGGCACAAGTAGGTGTTGAACCATTGATGAAACCTAGATACTATTACTGTTAAACTCAAACTTTGAAACTGTATAAAGTACTAGTATTTGTATTGAGCATAATCAACGATAAGAATAAATACTTCACTTACTTTCTATTGTCTTTATTCTTGTTTCCCATGGAATAAGGATAGAAATAAAGTTTGACAACTCCCGCTTAATTTTCTTGAATGCCTGGATAAAAAGTGAAATCACGATAACCACAATGAGTGCAAAGAGAATTCTAACATTTCTAAACATTGCCATACCCCAGTAAGGCACTCTACAAATTTCCCCTCAGTATTTTAATCCCAAAACATTTTGTGCAAATTGGTAGTTTATTGCTTTGAGTAAATGGTTTGACTTAATGGTCAATTCAATAACAATCAATGCACAGCATTAGCCCAGTTTCAGTTGACTCAAGGAGCCATTAATTGCCCCATACGTCTCTATAATCTTTCTCAAATGATAGAGATACGAAATTCAAGAATTTCAAGCCCGTCAAGGTGCCATTGCGGCTGTGTTTTTTACTCACCCGTGTAAAGGTCTCTTTGTAACCCTTGCCTTTGGACAGTCGCCCCTCGTACTTGTTCAGATACTCCTGTGCAACTCTGGCAAATGGATAACAGCAGGCTTGTGATGTAGTAATTGAAATATACTTCATGCCATTAGCAATAGCATCATAAAATGCAGAAATGCATAAAACGATAATGATGCCTTTATATGCAAACACACAAAAGATTAATTAGTTGCCTGCCAACTGTTAACGACTCCTATGCTTCTTTCCGATTGTCTCAAAGTTATGTGGGGTCGTCCTCGAGATTAAGGCAACAAAATGTACCTCAATGTTTTGAGCTTCTTCTTCATCCTCCACGGCTGTTTACGGATAGAAGCGATGATCTCCTTTTGCCTCTGGATGTTCTCCAGTATTGTCTCTTCCGGGATTTCATCTCCATCGGTCTCTTCAATTGTTTCCACATCGTCACTGTCCCTGTAGAAAACACAGAGACAACTTCAATTTTGTGCATCAGGTATGACAACGTGAAATGTGAAACATACCTTGCGAGAAGTAAATTTGGCCAAAGATTGGTAAGATCTCCGCGTATGAAAATTAGATATTGATACTTACCACCCTTAGCACATGTAGTTGAGAACACGACAATCACAATCTAAAGAGTATGAAAACTGCCTACTACTCACAAAGTCTGCAGCAACAGTTCCATTCTTCCCTACACAATATGGTGATTTTGTTCTACCTTTACGAAAAACTTCGACGTTTGACAAAGACTACTCCAGCTGCTTGTCGCTACCTTATGGAAATCAGCTGATCATCAAGAGCGGCAATTTTACAAAACAAAAATTCCTGTCACTTGTACCACTCAGTCACACTCGATCGAAACTGTATGTTTATCAAGGCATCATTATACAATCAATGCTAGATTATATTATTGACCCACAAAGTATCTCAAGAAAAAAGAATATTAGGTTTTTTATGTGGATCGTCATACTGGTGTCATTCTGATCTCTCCTAGGTACACAAGGCAACAAAAAAAGATGTAACGCGATGGTTGTTACTATACTAGCTATAGTACATGTACGTATACACTAACAAAGTTGCTGGGCCGGAAGAAACAGTGAACATATTGTTATATGCAGATGGACGCTGCTGACTTTTAACCAATTCCATTTTTACGTTTTGTGATCAACACTTTGAAACTGAAATTCTTGGTGGAAAGATATGTTATAATATTTATATGAGAAACACGTCAGAAAGATCCACTGAAGAGGAACACTACATCCATGTTCCCGTAGAGGAAATCTTCGCTGCAAACAGAATAAGACACCAAGAATTACCTGTTCCCCTGCAGTCCGAAATTCCTTCTCAGATATTCCAGGTTCTCCCTTCTACAAGCTCGTACCGGCTTGCAGACGAAATTAGGCGGACGATGGTCCAGATTTCTCACATTAACTCCAAGCGAGTACAAGACAGGCATCGTCTTAAACTAGATCCTCGACATCCCTGTCTCTGATCAAAACTACAGCAAAGATTTTTCATATCAATCTGCTCAAGATCAAAGAACGCACTGTCTTACACACAAAGCTTACGGCTCTTCTCTAGGTACTGGTAAAGAATGGCGAGCTTTTGTGTGAGCCTAAGTAGGCCGCTTAAATGTTTCCGTGCCGTTTTTGTTCACTAAGTGTACGTTGCAAAGCGTAATGAGAGTGCTGCTATTCAAACATGCAACATAAGAGCTCTCGGAACCAGCAATCGACTTTCATTGAGAGCTGGATAAGAAAGCACCTTTAGCAAACTCTCTCCATCGTTTAGATCTAACACTATATAGGAGCCATCCATCATAAACCATTGTTAAAAGAGATCCTTTACACCTTTCATGCAGCCAGTACGCCTTTCTGGATGATTATATACCTAGGAAGGACTTATAACAGAGAGAAGTTAAGTCGTGCAAAATGGCATTCATCAATATCTTCTCACTTATCATATCGTGATGGCGGTTCCTAGAGTTCCAGCAACTTGTCACAGCTCAACAATGTGTACTGCTTTGAACATTGCTAATATGATTACGAGACAAGTCAGAATTTAAAACAGTAAGTAAACGTCTATGATACAAATTTCATAAGCTACAACGTATTCTAAATTTGGACGATCATTCCAATAAACGTATGTTACACGAAGGTGCCCCTGGCATGAATATCATTAGACAGCCTACTCTGTAGCCTGCGGAAAGTGCATGTAACTCTGTTGTGACTCTGGTATCTCCGTTTAGATATGATCTGCAATAAGAAGATCTCACAGCTTTCAAGTTAAATGCCATGTACCTTACCTATCAATATGACTGGTGAACCAAGGAGGCAACGCTGGACGTACCAAACTTCTAACTCCATAAAAAGTACTTCTTGGAATAAAGGCAGATGAATGAGAATTATTGTCTATACATTGTAACATAGTTGTTATTACCGTTATCACTATATTTATGTTTTTTTATTTCTGTACACAACGCCGGCACTTCAATAGTTTTTTTTTTACTCCATGATCCCATTAATTTAAATCCCCAGCCCCCCTGCCATGTAGACACAGGTGTAGTCATTCTAACAACACATTTAATCACACGTCCCAGGGCCACATTAACCCAGATAACTCTGACCAGAGCTAGAGGGAAAACTTCCGGATGTCTAGCCAGACAGGCTACCCTAGCACTCGTAAAGGACCAAACTATTACTATGACATTATATGATGGATTTATTACACAGGTACGTATAGATATACAGATGATATAGATATACAGCTGCAAAATCTGATCCTGATAAACAATATACAAAAAGAAAAACAGTAAAAAAATGGAACATCTTTATTTTAGTAACTAGTCTAGATACTTTCATTGACATGCCCATTTTTTTTCAGTACACAGAATAATGTAGATCTGGTTACCGAATAAACTGACTGAAACAAACCCTCCCTACCATGCCCTGATACATGGGATACAGTTACGTTTACGACTAAACACAAAACAAGTGTAATACCTGATCCCGATCAACAATTAAAAAAACGGAACGTCTTCATTTTAGTAACTAGTCTAGATACTTTCATTGACATGCCCATTTTTTTCAGTACACAGAATAATGTAGATCTGGATACCAAATAAACTGACTCAAGCAAACGCTACCTACCATGCCCTGATACATGGGATACAGTTACGTTTACGACTCAACCCCGTGAAACTATACTTGGCCAGGTAACGATCCACGGCGTTATTGACCGCACTCTTCACCGGAAAGAGTTTATACTAGCCATTTGAAAATATATAACCTTGCTTCTATATTCCATTATGGTTGGGTCAGACTTTACACTATGTCATCGTAAACCTGCCACTTACGTATTTATCTCACAACAAGTTACTGCCGGGCTTCAAGGACAGGAACTTATTAAGGCCACAGTATTGACGTTGTTTAAGCAACAGTTCTAGTAGGTGTGCCTGATGTACTTGTATGAAGTGGAAGTGAAATAATGCCAATATTGATTCCACTAAAGTCGGTCGGAATCAGATTTGATCAGCCACTACATGCGTTTTTCTTTATTGGGTACTGTATATCTTTGGATATTAAAGCAGCTACATCTGTACAGAAGCCAAAGGGGATAGTCGTAATTATGCTGTGATATCTAGAGGCAAACAGCCTTCTAAGATCTGCTGGATCCTCAAGACAAACTATTTTGTCACATACAATCAACTGATGCCCAATATGTAAGGAGTACAAATAACGATTCTATTGCAGTGACTGTCTACTGTTAATCTGTTTCTAATCTACGTGCTTATTGATGTCGACTTGGTAAAGATTTATCCATTTCTGTGAACGATTGACTGTGCAGACGTATATTTTAGTAGTTAGCCGATGCTAGCAGGCAAGGGATCGGGTGGTCAAGGTGTAGACTAGGGTTCAATTCTTGGCATTCCTGACTAGACTTTATGTCCTTGGGGAAGGCATTCAACACGACTTTGCTCACTCCACCAAGGTGTAAATGGTACTAGACTTCGGTTGGGGAGGTTAAAGGCGTACGTGAAGGAAGGAGGGCGAGGAGGCTCCACCTTCCAATTTCGATTTAACAGAAACACAATGGATTGTTTGGAATTCGAAACGTTAGAAATTTAGATATTCCATGAGGGAGTGGCGAAACACACTCCATATTTAAGTATGAACATAATTGAATTATCAAAATTGTTCCTTTCTCGAAACCTTTCACTACGATTAGACTGTAACAAAAGAGGTATGGTTGGTCTAAATACTTTAAAAGAGAGCAATCTAAGGAAATTAATTGAAAGCTCACAAATTACAACATGGATTCCCTTTATCCCACATAATCGTAAAAACAGCGAAGCGTAAGCCTGTATTCGGCATTAATCATGTAGAACGTCTCATATTGATCGAAAAGAGACGTTATGTTTTCCCTACGTACGCGAGTTTTTGTAAAGCCCGACCTTTGATTCCTAACATGTTAACAGCAAGAAGCAGAAACAAAAAATGACCATAATAAAGTTTCGAACAATATCTAGGCGTTGGATTTACGAGACTGATAAAAATATTATAGAGTTCGGCGATTCCATACCTCAGCCACCACAATCGTTTATGTCCTACGTCATGTCATGCAGTTTGAATACAGGTGACCTCAAAATAAAATGCCATTGACTCGGTGGCTTTTGGTACTCACACTGTGTTGGATTTTCTTCAACATATATACATCTACCGTACTTTATCTGACACCTACCTTTGTTTAGCTACATTTTGGCAGGTCTGACTGTTATATTGATTACAAGAATCACGAGTTCATTAATCCTTACACAGTGAATACTAACTTAGTGACCGTGGATTTACTGGTGTAGTATTTGATTTGAGGAAGACATTTCTACTTACTCGTCATCGTCATCCTCGTCCTTGTCACCTCCATCGTCATCACTGGAGTCACTCAGGATAATCTCCTCCTCAACTGGCTTCTTCTTGTCTTTTTTCTTGTCCTTCTTTTTCTCTTTCTCTTTCTCCTTTTTCTTCTTATCCTTTTCTTTCTCCTTTTTCTTCTTATCTTTCTCCTTCTCCTTCTTCTTCTTAGCTTTTTCCTTTTCCTTTTTCTTCTTTTCCTTTTTGTCTTTCTTCTTTCCTTTTGGTTCTTCGTCTTCGATCTCTTCGACGTCGTCGATGTCGCTTCTCCCACGGTCCTTTGCGGTGAGGTTCCCCGATGATCTCGTTCCCCGGCTTCCCTCGTCGTGACTCGAACCCTCCCCTCCTCCATCGTTCCCAGTGTCGTCCTCAAAGTCAACCTCTATATCGAACTTCACCTGAGGCGATGATACATAATTCACGTTTAGAATTGAATTATGAAGTGAATATATATCCGCGGGTCAAGACGGTTAACGTTAAAGGTATTGGACATTATCCAAGCTCACCTACTTAATGCGGAACTTCTTGGGCTGAGGATAGAGAAGCACGTACGCAGTCTTGAGGCACGTTCTTTCTCTTAATAAAACGGCATATGAACCAGTCCATATGAACCAATACACTTGAGGAGCTGGGACTAATGAATCAATAAATCAATTAACACGTGTGCGCACTACAAGGATATTTCAAGACCTATTTTAGAAACCTTCCGTAATGCCACACACAATCAGTATTGGGACAGCATGTGCAGTTACCGTTTTTCTTATTTATCATTATTTGCGATTCTGACGATATTTGAGGGCATTGTCCATACTATGCATGGAATTTTGTGTCTTGGTGAAATGAGGTTACATTTCTGGAAGGCAAACACATGGTCCAGGATGGTCCACTTTAACCATGTGTTCCATTGGTTATCACTTTGATCAATTTTCACTTGAAATATTTCCAAGAATACAGACTGTACATTTAGCTTTGGTACAGACTGCAGATAATGAATGTTTTATAGCGATTTCTTGGTGGAAAACAATTGTCTACTATACTAATACCCCCTCCCTACCCCCTAACCATTACTGCCTGCCGTATGTCGTAAGACCACGTACCTCTGCACTCTGTGTCTCGGACCTCATGGAGTTCCCTTCCGCCGAGGCCGCCTCGTCCCCGCCCTGTCCTGCCGGGAACAAGTGAAACACAGAAGGTCTGTTAACATTGGGCGAGATCTTGTGCCTCTTGAAATTCGGCGAGCTCACGTACCCTAGATTATCCATGTCGGTTGTTGTGGTCTTGATGAGAGTCGAGCGGGGCAGCAGCAGCTGGCTCTACCACGCTTTTTGGACCTATCTGCTAACTAACTACCACGTGAGGTTCGAAGAACCACTCGCTTAAAACATTGGACAGGGATCTTCCGGCGTTATCGCCTGGAAAAAAGGCATCTCAAATCGCCATTTCGCTCGCTGGCACTTCCCAGGATCGGGTGTAGTGTAGGAGAAGACAGATGTACAGGTCACAGGAAGGCATCAGCAGCACCAGCCAGTCTCTTTGTAGTTTCCCGCCGACCGCGGCGGAACTACACACACAGGTTTGTGCAGTATCAGCAACTCAAAAATAGACGCCTTCAATCTTCGCAGGAAGAGCAAATGGAGAGAGTGCGGCCCCGATAGGAAGAGCATTGTTCTTGTTAGTTGAGGCTAAATGAGCTTTACTGCAATACAGACCCGGGGGAGTTAAGGTTTGACCGAAACGGATGGTCCAGTTTAGTCTGGCTCACTCCGCCAGAGCCAAGGATGTCATGTTTGATCAATGAAAATAGTTTTCTTTCCCGCTCGTGTCAGCTTAAGAGCAAAATACATTTGTTGTCTGGTAGTTTTTGTGTGTGTGCCAGAAACGTGCAATAACGCATGTCTATCTGCAATGCTTGTAAAACTACTACTCGAGTACTTTCCGTATGATAACTGCTACCTCATCATACGCTTCACTCCCCTTGATCAATGATCCTTATTATTATTACCTGTATATGCAAATAAGGAGTATATGTACAAGGGCCCATTCTATTGTATGAGAAACACGTCACTTCTTTTACGTAATTCTCGTACCTCGTTGAGTCTTTCACTGAACCACGTGGCGGTAAATTTCCTTTGCTTCTTCTAAGATTATGTGTTGTTATTTCAAGCTACGGGAACTACATGCCGATATACACACCGCCCTACGATTTACTGTTATAAAGAGGGAGTCATATGCCTATCGAATAAGCTCCATGGCTTTTATTGCCCATTCGAATGAATCAGGTCTGGTTTATTTCTTTGTGTTTCCCATAGAAACATCTGTCAGTGTCCCCTGGCTGCGATAGGTTTTTATGATGGCGCCATTAGAGTAAACCGATCTTCCGCCATTTGTTTCATATAAACAAGATGGTTTCTTTGGGATTCGTATTGGAGGAACAGATCTAGAAATGTCGAATTGTCCTCTTCTGAATGGAACCGGTCACTGCATCATACAAGTAGTCTACGCGATTTTATTTGCTTCTCTACAGTACATGTATTTGTTTTCCAGGCTAGGCTGACCAGTAAGCGGAATGTGCAGTTCCATCAGCCCATGTCCTAACATATGCTGTGTTCCTCGATGTTTTTTCATTAGGAAGCAGATTGCCTTGTGATTGAAGATAAATACTGCAGTAAGGCGGTCTGTGCTTCTTGTAGATTGAACAGCAGCTAAAGCCCTATACAGATCCGCGATCAATAACGTTGTGCTGGCTGCAGTTCAGTGCGTCACCGCACAATTACATGCTGCTGTACGTTTGTGGTCGACTGCCTTCTGCATCGGCACCTACAACTTTACAAGTGGTGCAATTTGGGTTAAACTCGCCAGGTGACGCAAGTGTCCATCACACCGTGGGCATGTCAGCTCATGGCTCGCATAACTGCCGTGTAATTAGGAGAACATTACGGTGCCATGCATGGTTTCCCGCTGTTAGTGGCCACAAAATCCCCCGACTAGATCAACAGATTCGCTTAACTGGGAACTTTTGTAAAACATACAGCTACAAGTTTTGCAACCTATATTTTGAAAACTACGGTTAGATCTAGGTTACTGATATCGTATACTTACCGCATACAGAATCAGTGATAAACTTACAATGATGACTAAAACAACAAAATCACAACCAAATACTTCAAGGAGGTTTGAAATCCTTGATTTTTTTGCTTTTGAAGAAAAATCTCTCGCTCTGAAACAAGCCTACACAAGAACACCAGTGAACTGATCACCCGAATTTGTGCCACAACGAAAAAGGTACATGCCACAAGACTTCCATCCCTAGATTTTCTGCTAAATATACAGGAAATCATATTAAAAAAAATTACCACTTGATAGTACATTTCAGAAAAGGTTACCTTCATAGCAGCATTTCAACAGCCAAATGCTATTCAATAAGAACACAACGTTTTGGAAAGGATACTCACAGAAGAAGTCCTGTTGGGAAGCAGGTGTGGTAAGGAGTGTGTTGTTCCGCTATGTACACTTCACACAGACCCTTCGGTACTGTAGCAGGCCTGAACCTAACAACCCGTGTCTAAGTAACCGTCACAAAGTAGATTTTTCTTCATCTCTGCTGCAAGTCATTAGCGGGGCATGCGGCATAGCCCCCAATAAACGCCACAGCAAGATTATTCCCACTGCAATTCTAACAGAGAAGGAGTATTCCATAAAGACACAAAAACTAGGGCAGAGGAATGCTATCTTAACGGTACGGCTCATATGTATTACATCGCATGTCCATATATCATGGTAGCACACTAAAAACAGCGGGGATAGAGGTGCAATAAAGGCGTCCACTTTGTATATACTCTTCCACTGATGGGAATATACGTAATGAATTCGTGGTCACAACTTCTTAATGCACACATGACCCAGGAGGATAGAGAACCTGCAGGTTGGGGGGAATGGTGATTAGGGTAGCGGCTTCTTGGTCTCGTTAAAGCGGGGAAGCTTGCGTCAGTTGTCGGAGTACAAACTCGTAAGAGTCACGGTTCCCTTCTTTGTGAGGCGGTAAGCTGTAATGAGCGTTGTGCTATGGGGATTTAGGAAAGGTACATGTCGGCATATGCTTGTTGCGCATCGGTGCCGTTTGACGAAGCTGGAAGATTGGATGTAAAATCACAAAGTCATCAAAGAAGCCTTTTTACACAACGGTAGCTTAGCTATAGGTGCGTGGCGTGACTAATGCTCAACTGTACACATACCGTTGCGAACTCAGTATCTCAAAAGCCATAGTAATATTCTAATTGAAAGTTTAAAAATGGTTTTCACTGTCAAAAAAGGCGGAAACGTTTGAAAAATAACAAATTTCAATGACATAAATCTTAAATTCTAAAACCCTTGGTTAGTATGGGTTGGAAACAAAATATGAATATCTCTATACCCCATACCCATAATGTTTGTTGTCAGACGACATGCTATACAGTCTTACCTTGTGAAGGCGCCGACGCCATGTCTTCCCGCTTTCCCACCAGCTCTCAGCCTTTTGTAGTAACTTTCTCCTCGGTATAGTAAATCCAACAAGCTTGGTTTGAGTTCAGTAGAGTTGGTACGGATTTTAAAAATATAGTTCTCAAGTCATCCCATTGTCTTCTGATGAAAAGCCATGAAAAGCGTCCACTTCCACTGAGCTGAGCCTTAGTTGGATCGTCTTATCTAAAACTACTTCTTAGGAGTCTAGGTCTGCCAAGTTCACATCATCAGGTCATCATTGTAAGGAGAGTGGATGGAAACAACTTTCATAGTATCTTCAAGATGTATCATGTTCACATGTTCCTCCTGGTCTGGCTAGTATCTTGCGTATTATCCTGTGGGTCGTCATCGCTTTGCCTGTCCTGTAAAACAACATAACCAGTTAGTTCTGTTGTAGGAAATACATGTACTGTGAAAGTGAAATATGTAGTTTGAATATGTTTTAGTACGTTATATGTCTGCTTACCTGATTTTCTGACCGGTCAGCGTTGGTGTCCAACAGAGAATGACCACTGACTAAAACCATCCGTGACAATATCTATCAGGTGATCCCACTAATTAGATGATAATTACTGACCGCATCAAAAGTATTTTGTGCATTGGATAATACAGGCCATCCTCAGGCCAGCCTTTTAGAAATGCTCCCGTGTGTAACTTGTTCAATAGCTTAGGAAAACGTTGCAGCTATAACTCAAAGTATAACTCACTACTCTTCTGCAAACTCTGCGATTTTCACAGGGCAAATTACTGTAATCATCAAGACAACGAGGTCAGCTGCTGGATACAGTAGGTGAACGCAATTACCTAGCCCTTCGTTCCGCGCAGCTGAATAGAAAAACAGTTATGACTTAATCAATGACAATTTCTTTTCAACAAAAATGAAGTTCTGTAGGCAACTCTATTTCAGTAAGATACAGACTCCCTAGTGACTCAGAACCTTCTTTGACACGGAAACAAAATGAATTCTACTCATTACATTGAAAGGTACCAGATGGGAGGAAATGCGATTTGCCAGCCTCTTCCGCATCAGTGAACATCTTATAACTAATCAATGAGGCCAATTTCGAGCGCCAGTACTTAACACGTTGCTTTAATTGCTTGTAAAGTCTGATAGGAAAAGTCAGCGTTTAGGGTTAGAATGTCGACGTCAGGAAAACAGCAATGGAATATATTGGTTTCCGTGCAATCCTAGATATGAAAACATTACGACGATAACATTAACATAAATCAGATGTAACTAATAGCAACATAAAATTGGAAAAGGCTTTTACTTTGTCTGCCATATCGGCCGTTAAAGCCAAATGTGAGATCGATTTCACAGAGATATGAAAACTGCAACGAAAATATGGGTGATGGAAAACTTCAAAACGCACTGTATCTAAAAATAATAGTGCAAATATGATCCTATAAGGTACTCTTAGAAGAGATAGCTAAACCGACAATATTCATTGACTGACGGCTATGTCATACATAAATGGATGAAAGGCCCTGTCCTTGGTGCTGAACGATACTAGTTTTACAAGGATGGCGCTGTCCTTGGTGCTGAACAACGCAAGTTATACAAGTATGACACTGTCCTTGGTGCTGAACAGCTCTAGTTTTACAAGTATGGTACTGACCTTGGTGCTGAACAACGCAAGTTATACAAGTATGACACTGTC